ACACCCAGCGCACCAGGGCATCCGTACCCTGCACCACGCACCGTCTTCTCCCAAGTGAAATATGCTCTCTGATAGCTGGGACCCAAAACTGGCTAAACCAAGATGAACTTAACTTCTTTTTTTGGTGAGCTGAAGGAATTAAATGTCCCAACCATCAAAAGAAAAAAATTGACTTCCAATAGCGGATACAGCACAATGTTTAGAAGGTTGTAAAAGATTACCTTTGTAGGAAAAAAAATGTATAGCAGAGGAAAAACTGCTTTGGGGCATTTGTTACAGAGCAAGAATTCATACTAGTTCCAGCTTTCCCATTTTAGTTCATGGTAATAAGTTTAATTTTAAAAGTGGTTACTTTTGCCTTATAGTAGCTGCAGCTTTAGTTTACATAATGTGACTGGGATGATGTTTCATAGGCTTTTTGTTATTGCAAGGTTTCTCTCTAGGTGTTGGATAGACATGACCTTGTAGCTGCTGCGAGGTTCAAAGTCATGCATTTATCTTGTGATACAGGTGGCTAAGAGCAAGCACCTGGTGAGTTAAGACAGCTGGGCTCCCAGTTAAGCACTTAAAACACCCTTAACTCTGTTGCATTTAATTATACATCTGAATTTTTCTATTCAAATTTAACTGTTCCAACCAGAATTACTTCACAAATATTATTCCCAGTGTATTGCAGCTACGTGAGCGATGTTTAAATACTTAAAATGGAATTTTGTATCCATTTCAATATGCTATTCTAGAAATTAGGCTTTGTGCTGACAAAAGCAAGAGAAAAGGTGACTCAGAGTATCTTCCTTAGCGGCTCATGAGGACTGTTGTATCTTTATTATAAGACGAACCACGGAGAGAAGCCAGCTGGTTCAGAGGTAGGACTTGACATCAATGTAAACAGCATATCACAGATTTACAGTGCATTTCACACCACCTGATTTTTTCTTCTGTCTTCTGAGGTGAATCAATTATAGGAACTATTTCATTTAACTTAAACAACAGAAAAAAAGAGTGAGATTCTGGTCCTGCAGGCTGTAAGGAAGTGTTTGGAAATCCAGCCTACAACAGGATGAAGCCGTCCGATTTCTGGCAGGGTTATAACCCATGTCCCCATCTGTCCCTGCCACGAGAACAAGCTCCTTCATACCCCTGTAACTCTCCCTTTTCTCAGAATCGTCCTGGTTCGCTTCCATGTCCACTTGGTCCACGGCCAAAACAAGCTCAAATCCCATCCTGCTCCCTATCTATTTTTTCTGGGTTGCTGGCTCAGCAGGGGATGACACACTGTAGATGGTCCAGAGCTATCAGCATGCTGACTAATGACAAAGAACCACAAGCTGATTGGCTAATTAGCGGCTGCCAAAAAGGATGGGTAATGGTTGGGCTCCGTTTGCCTTCTCCTCAGGGAGGGCATTAGTAATCTCCTTTTCCTCTACACAGTCCCTGTTTTTCCATAAAACTCACAGTAACACAATGTCTTTGAAACCTCTATATTGGTCAAATTGAATGGGGGTGGGTTTAGGTGGTTTGTGTTTCCCTTTTATTTTTTCTTTCCAGGTTTTCCAATGAGTACAAAAGCTCCTGGTGGAAGGGGGAAAGGAGAGAAGAAGTTGACAGGTAGAAAGATGTGTGCCTTTTTCCTTTAGAAAGGAACATTCTTACTTTGCTTGATTTTGGGGGCCTGAGCCATGATCTTCGAATAGTTAGGATTGGGAATACTGTTCGCTATTGGCAGGCACGGCGGGTAGAATGACACAAATCCCAAAGATAATATTAAAATGCCAAAAAGTTCAGTAAGATGTGCATTTTGTTTTTAACTCTTCTCTAGTTTTGCTAGTGGTAATATGTTGTTTTGGTGTTTATGGGTTTTTTTTTTAGATTATTTTTTGCTAAAGAAATTTTTGGAACTACTTTTACCTGGTCACTTTATCACTCACTTTTCACACCTCTGTCACCTACTTCTGTAGCCACCACTTTCCAAAACCACTACAATGAAAGGCAGACAGAAAAATCAAATTGCATATTGTATTATTATTATCAAAGAGATTAGCTCCTTCAATAGCTCCTGATTGAGTGCAACTGTTTATGTTCTCTTCCAAATTCTTGCAGTTTCATAGAAAAGAAAAAGCCAGCAACGATGAAAGAGGAAGAAAAAAGTATTCTACTACCAGACTAGAGTTATCCAGAGTACGTGGATGTAAGTGCATTTTATGAGGGAAATGGAAAAACATTGCTCTGTGTTACGCAGCTGCTGGTGAATTCTGGGCTGCTTTTGTCATCCTTGGTCAGTTGTCCCTATGTCACCACTCCAGCTGCCTCCTACTTCTAAATAGCAAGCAGAAGCACGGTGCTCGCAGCAGGATCTGTTTGCCACCACGCGCCACCTTGGTGGCTGAACGCAAGCTCAGCTTTTGCTCAGAGCTCACTGGAGTTTCAGGCTTACAGGAGAGGACTTTGGTCCTGCAGTCATAAACAAATGCCTCATGGAGGGGAGCAAAGGGGCCTTTTTTTTGCAGATTAATGGAATCATTGCAGAAATTTGCAAAAAAAAACCCCCAAACATTGAAGTTCTGCGTGCTCCTTGAAGGAGCTGCTGCAGGGCACATTCAAAGAAGTCATGGTGCTGGAGGCATTGCTTTGCTGAGCAGTTGCTTCTCTTGTCCCCTCTCCAACACGAGTGGCTTACAGCCATGGTCTGCCAGAGCATTTAATTACTCTGATATTAATGACTGCGTTATTATTTCCAACTGTTTATTGATGGGTCACTGTTCCCATTAAAACTGCTTCTGGTGCGAAACCTGGGACCTGTCAAGGTTTCCACTTGGGGGTAGATTCCTTTTTATATCCAACTGGTTAAGTCATCCTGGTTTAAAATTAAAAATACTAAAAAATGGTTTTATTATGACATTCACTGTCATAACAGTAAACGAACAAAAACCTCCATCCTAAACCCTCAAAAATGTCACCAACAGGCTCAGTGCTTTTCAAAAAGATTCTTACTGTGAATCATTCTACGCATCTTCCATTAAAATACATTTCCAGCACTTGAAATGCACTAAGAATCTGTTTAAAATATGGCATAGACATGGCAGGCAGTCTCCACTGCAAACTCAGACCTATCCTGACTTCCAGTTCCAGCAAACCATAACGGGATTTTAAATGGGGATTTTGGCTGAAATCAGAACATCAGGGTCTGACCCTAAAGCCGTAGGCCTGGAACATGCGAGCGTGATACAGCTGTCGCTTGCATCAGTGTTACACCAGAGTAGGACAATCAATTTCAATTGAACACTCATGATTTACGTCACTGGTCATGAGCTGAATATTAGGCTCGGTTCTACACTATGCAATGAATTTGCGTGCCCTGGAGAGGTGATACAAAAGAATATGAATGACCAGGCAGAAAAGAACCTCTTTGAAAGTTCTGTCCCACATCTTTCCATATACCAATGTTTTC